AGGATGTTCTAAGGGGACAGAAAACAAACTAGGAAACTGACTATCTGGCTCACACTTACCGTTTCTCTAGTTGATCTCCCACCCATGTTAGTGTTTGGCCAATAGAGCAATGGCCTCTCCCAGGGCATTCCACTCTAGAAAAGGCCCAGGCTCATATGTGGGAGGAGAAGAGCAAGCCTATACCCTGCCCTCTCCACCAGAGGAAGGGGTCAGACTGATTAGAACAAAAACAATACTGATGAAAAATTCACAGGAGGCTACACTTTCTAGTTCAGTGGGCTCTAGCAGGTATAGTAAACAGTTTTTGACAACCAAGAGCACATTTGCATGTGATTTTCATAGCACCTAGAGGCAATTTGCATAGACACGCATTGACAGGCAGTGAGTATCCAGGTAATACTCAAGTAAAAATGTTATTACAATTAGCCTGAAGGCTGCTGTTTTCTTGCTTTTTTTCTCTCTTTTCTTACCTCCCTTTTCATACATCAGCTGCCACCTCAGATATCTGCAGAATAAGTATCATGAAGAATAAATGACCGGGTGGGGGGCAGAGAAATGTCTCAGGACCAGGAAGAATTAAAGACAGCAAGATCATCACCAGTTTTCTGGGCTATGTCTTAGCTTTATGCTGGGAAAAATGAGGCCTGTGCCCAGAACTCTGGGTGGAGTTCTGGGTTTGAGGGCCATTTGAGGGCCATTTTTGGACACAGCTTTTCTGACTGAGAAAGTGGATGCTTGCATCACAGTGTCAGCATCAGTTTGTGCTTAAACATTGACATTCAAAATCACCATGCTGAGGAAAGATTAAATTATCTGCCACATTGTGTAAGCCGATTAAATCTTAGTTTACACCTGTTTACATAGCAGGTGGTGGATTGGTAATCAGAAGTTTGCAAGTCTGGCATAAATCACTGCCACTTGAGGCTCATGTTTACTCAGTGAACTATGTCAGCCTTGTTCCTTGCATGTGGAAAAAGCCCAGTATTGTATAAATGGGGCCCTCAGCTTCTTTCTAGGACTTGCAAGCACAAAGAGAAGGGATTGAGAAAAGCAGAAGGGAAATCAATCCAGAGAAAATGGTCACATGCTAATTTTATGCTACTGTACAGTGTAGTAAAAAAAAAAAAATTGAAGGTTATATTTGCAATTTGTTTATACAACCCTGAGCAAAATACTCAGTATCGATGGAACTTAGTTTTTGCGTCTATAATATTGGAAGTAGTAATTATTTCTATCCAACATGTTGTTTTCAGGCTGAATGTCGGCTAGTGTCATGAAAGCATTTTACACACTTTGAAGTTCAATACATATGCTACGCGAGGTATTACTTTTGTTCTTTTTTTTTTCTTTAAAGAAGGAAACAATTACTAAAATGCCAGCCAAATACATTCCTTTCCTGTTTCTTCTCAAGTCCATAGTTTCAAGACAAAAGGATTTGACTTCCTCTGAGATCCCTCTTCCAGCATTGTCTCATTCTACCCAGGGATGGCATATTCATCCCCTGCATGCTCTATGCTGTCTCTGGGTTGGGAATAAAGACAGACACATGAATAAAACCTGGGCAGTCCAACCTCAGAAATGGAGTCAGGATCTTTGTTACAATGTTGTTGGTCACACCCTCCTTCTTGAAACTCTTCTTCCCTGATTCTCTTCCGTTTTGCTCCTTGATGTTCCTTCTTCCTATCCTCGATTTCCTTTTTCTAGCTTTTTTTCCTCTGCCAATTTCGTCAAAGTTAATGTTTATCTGAGATCTCTCTTCCAACTTGTCAGACACGAAGCTCACTCACTCTGTAGCCTCAGTTACCATCTGCATGCTGGCGATTCCTAATTTCATACCTGCCACTACAGTATCTTCCCTTAAGGGCCATAAGGCACTTAAGACCAACTGCCTATGGATATTGCTGCTTGGATATACCATCTATATCTCAAACTCTTAAGTATGCAAAATGGAGCCTATCATAATTCCTTTCAAATATGCATATCTTTCTGTGTTGCATGAAGCTGGTTGAACCGGGTGCCTGCACATCACCTGAGACTCTTCAGTGTCCTTCACCGTCTCTCAAATCAGCTTATCAACTCTGGGTATCATATCTTACTGACTCAGATATGCTCATTTCTCTCCATCCCTGCTGCTGCATCTCTGTAATAGACTATTACCATTTTCCACCTCTGAACTGATCTTCTGTCTCCAGTCTTTTTCCCTTCAACACATTCACCATTTTTTAGCAAAAATCGTCTTCAAAAAACTCAAATCCAATTACATATTTCCTCACATAAAAATGAATGACCAGCTTTCCTGCTGCTTTATTAGGGGGAAAAAGCTGAATATTAAGATAGTTTCAATGTCTGCACAACCTAGCTGTGCCTTGCTTACTTCTCCAGCCTCATTGCTTATTGTCTTCCTGGGAGACCACTTCCCTTCAGCTCTTACACACCCTTCTGTAGCATAGGCTCAAATGCTACTGAACTTCTTTTATATCTTCATGGAAGCCATGGCAGTCGGGGCCTTTGGACGTGGAATTCCGTCTTCACAGAGCTCTCCTTGACAGTGACCTTTTGCTTGTCTAACTCCTACTGTCTTATTTTTAGCATGGATGTGGTGTTGTCCAGGAAGCCTACCAGATCTCCCCAGACTGTAGGGCTCCTCTCATAGGCTGCCATTGCACACCAAACTTCTCTAATGATATCATTTATCTCACTGATTACAAATGATCTGGTTTCTCGTCTATATTCGCTAATAGACTGAATATTTTGTTTAGCATCATGTGCTCAATGACTAGTTATTTACTGGCAGGTATTCAGTACTTTCTGAATGGGTGAAAGCATTGCATTTATAAGCAAACCTGTGATCGAATTTTGATGTCAAAATTGATGCTAAAAATAGTGAAGGAAAGAAGACATTTTTCTTATGAGGTGATAGAGGTCTCTATTTCAAATGCATTAAAGTGAATGAAAACTAAACTATGTATATATAATGTTTCATTTCAATGTATATATATATATATGTGTGTGTGTGTGTGTATATATATATATATATATATATATTCTAGCAATTATTTCAACAACATAGAATGGTCATTCTTCAAAGACAGTTTCAATTTTATTTATTCAACATTTATGCCTGATTAATACCATTCCATGCAAGTTAATGGTAACAGAAAAAGGATTACCTCTCTACAAGCTTACCAGAACAATGCTTCTCAATACTTGGCTGCTCATGAGAATCACCCAGGGAGATTTTAAAAAATCCTAATGTCCAGTTCACACCCCAAACCAATTACATCAGAATCTCTGGGGGTGGGGCCCAGACATCAGCATTTTCCAAAACTTCCCAAGTCACTACAATGTGCAGCTAAGGTCAAGAAGCACTGGTCTAATCAAACCTCTCTTCCTGTTAGAATAACATCAGATATGAAATTTTGACTTTCCTGAAAGATCCAGGATAATATTTTTCTCTTTTTAAAATTTTTGTAGCAGCATTTTGCGTGGTAGATTTTAGCATGTCTCCTTGAGACTTTTTTTTTTTTTGAGTGTAAGAGAGAAAATATAAGCAGAATTCTAACTCCTAAGAGGTTGTAAAGAACATGTAGTTTCAGGAGTTCTTTACTCCTCACATTGTATAACACACACACACACTCTCTTTCAAGACCCTTTCTTTTTTCTCCCATGCAATTTACTTCCACATACATATCATGATTAATCACTTCTTTGCTGTTTCATTAACCTGATTTCCTGGGAAGCTAAAGTAAGCGTGTTCGAATTATATTTTATCAATAAGACCATATTATGTTCTCCCTTATCTTTCACTTCCATGGCTGCCTTTTTCTCATTATGTGTTATCTTTGTGTGTGAAGGTTAGGTTAACATCATTAGAGCCCATAATTAATTTAACTTCTAAATGATTCAAACCTTCCAACTTTAGCTTAGACAGTCTCTGTTTCTATAAGTCATTCATAAAGATGCCATCTGTGAGGTGCTGTAGTCTCAGATCTTCTTGAGGGTAATTGTAAACATCCGTCCTTTCTGAGGGTTGCCCACAGCATCAACTTTTCCAAAGTACATAAATCTGTTTAAGTTCTGTAAACACAAATGAATGTCAAGGCTGAAATAAATATGCCTCACATTGTGACTATTTATTGTTTAACAAATGTTTGGTTGGTGAATGCCTTCAGTGGAGCCGTGTCTGATCTAAATTGGGCGAGAGTTTGAGATGGGCTGGAGCTGGGCGTGTATATTTGGCGCATTTCTACACACATAGAAAAATTGGTGCTGCAGAGTGTTAAAAAGCTTAAAGCCAATTTTCTGGGCATGGTGGCTGGTGGCTGGTGCCTGTAATCCCAGCTACTTGGAGGCTGAGGCAGGAGAATTGCTTGAACCTGGGAGGCAGAGGTTGCAGTGAGCCAAGCTCATGCCATTGCATTCCAGCCTGGGCAACAGGGAGAGACTCCATCTCAAAAACAAAAAAAGAAAGAAAAAAGCTTAAAGCCTGGGCTCTGTTCTTTTGGGTTGATGAGGATGACTATAGTGATGATTTGTCATTGTGTGCTATATATGCTAAGTATTTTGTACACAACACCCCATAATTTCTCATAACAGTAATATATTTTATCATAAACAAAATAATAGCATAGTAGAATATATTATTATATAATAGTATATAATTTGATATAGTAATTATAATATTTTAGTATATTATTATTATCCCCTATTACAGGAGAGGATACTGAGACTCAGTTTGGTTAAGTAGCCTTTTCATGATCACTTAGCCAATAAATGGTAAAATTAGGATGAAAACCATTCTTACTCCAAGAATTGTGCTATTGGCTAGTAAAGCTTTTGGTTTGAGTAAATCACTTCATTTCTCTAAGCCTTTTTCCACATTTGTAAGATAAAAGGAAATAATTGAGTGATTTCTAGCTCTAAAAGTTTCTGTTTTATTTTCTATTGCAACAGGACCAACAAAAAGAGCCAACACTTTGGTAAAACATCATTGCAAGAAGTGGTAGATACATAACAAATGTATTACCATCAGAAAAAAGCAGTGATATATTAAAACACAAATGCTACACAGGCATGGACTTAGCAGACAATCCTTAGGGCACTGTTAGAGTAATACTTGGAGAACGTTTGGTGTGCATGAACAGTCAAGGTTTTGCTCTTTCCTTCTTGATAGGTTTTGGTCCATTGTTACCCATTCACATCCATGAAGACTGGATCTAGTTCTCCCTTGAAGATAAAATATTGGGAAAACTTTTTTAGAATTTCTAGAATTAAGTTTTAGAATTAAACACATCCCTAACATTTCTAAAGAAGGTAATTTAATCAAATGGCTAAGAAGGGTTTTCTTAGTCCAAGATTCATCTCCTCATTTAGCAGTTAATTATACAGGCTCTGGCATTTTTGAGATCTAAATTTGAATCTCAGCTCTGCTATTTATCAGCTTTTTGACCTTGAGCAAGTTACTGATCTGTACTGGACATCAGTATTCTAATGGACAGGATGGAAATAACAGGTGTACATACAGGTTTTTGTAAGGAATGAATGAGATAATAGATGCAAAGAACTGAGCTGAATTTTTGGTCATATTAAGCTTCGGTTCATCAACACTGCTGCTGTTTATTATTATCATCATCTTTATCATTACCATCCTCATCACCATAATTTCTACCAGGCTAATGCCTCTTAAAAATACTGTTGCTGTTTGGACTATCTTTCTGGTGCAAGAGGGAAATTTCTTCTTTAACAAGGAATATACTCAGCTACATTTTTATCAGTGGCTATTGTCTCTGATCTGTGGTTCGTTCCTATGCTAAAAACAAAACAAAGCATAACAAATTAAACAACAACAAGTAAAACAGCACAGAGTCCAGGAAAACTGGAATTGGTGTTCGAGGTCAGAGGTACAGGTTTTCAATGACCAGTGGAAAAAGTGCGTTTTCCTTGCATATAGAAGAAAACACACACCAAAATAGAAAGTGTATTAAATTAAAAGATGTATACTATTCCCCCTAATTAGTACACTCTCTTTCTGCTTCATATCATCCTGCTGACAACTCAAGAAGTGACCAAGTACTACAGTGGCTTCCAGTAGATCATGAAAACAAAATAGGGGAAAGAGGGGAAAAAGAAACAAAATAATCAGCAAGATAGATCTGAACATAATTTAAAAATTAGGATGAACAAATAAAGTCAGACTAGTCTGGAAGGAGAAGGGCAAGGCCATATCCTGGAGACATGACCCAGATTTTTAGGCTCTTGATCTTTTTTGAACCATAGCATGGAACTCTGGAAGATTCAAACTCATTTTCTTCTATCCTAGGAGGAGAAAGAAAGACTTGGTTAACAAACTGAAAATGTGCAGTTAAGGCAAGCTAAAACTCATTAAGCATCCTGGATTCATAGTTTTTAAAAAGTTATAAAAGTAATCTACCTAATTGTTAAACTCTGTGTCATAATGTTGTGCCTATACATAGGTGATACGAGCTAAACCTATGCATGTGTATACACATGTTCTATCTATGATTGCTCAAGGAAAGAACACACTTTAATCTATGTACACTCATGCATCTGTCAGAAATAGAAATTTGTTTTCTTTCCATTAAGACTTCGTCTGGCTTTATAATTAGTGTTTATAGTAAATACATTCAAAATTTATTCTTGGAATCCCCAAATCTCTTGCCACTGTAGGATAATGTAAGCTTTAGTCTAATTTGTTATAGTCTCTTTTGGCTTCACAGTGATTGAACCTCTGCCCCAAGCCTTGGCCACTCACATACACACCTGAGTGCAGGCCAGATCCCGGCTGCAGGCTTCAAGGGGCCTGGTAACTGGCATGCATGCTCTCACTCCAAACTCAGCCCTTGTTGAATTTGTAAATTTCCCTGTTACCTTTAATCCCAAACTAGAGAACATCATATTGTAAAACTTTCTGTTTTATAGTGACTGCGAATTTATCTATTAATCAGAGGAAATTTTTAAAAATCTGAGTAAGAGCTTAATTGTTATATATAAACCAGTAGGACTTTATTCAACCCATAACTTCACACCCTGCTGCTCTTTCTGGTCTTTCTTTGTCCTGTTCCTCTGGTGTCTCAGGCTCTGTCTCACCCTTTCTTCAGTCCATTGAGTGAATATTTTGGTTGTGGTTTTGCTTTTGCTCTCTAGTGATGGGGTCAGTCCAGGCCAAACTGATTCATAAACTGTCTCCTGAGGGATTCTGGGTGGGACAGAAATATGAAGAATTAAGTAGGGTGGAGAAAATGAGCAGAATGTTAACATTCCATACACATCACACACGCACGCACACACACACACACACACACACACACACACACACACACA